CGAGGAGGCAGCGCCCCCCACCGCGGATGAACCGAGCCCCCCCGCCGCCCCGGAGCCCGCCCCGCGCCGCTCACAATTCCTTGATGAGCACCATTTTCCCGCAGGCAGCAGCCCAACGCGCATGCGCCGCCGGGGCCGCCTACCCATAGGACACAGCGCGAGGCACTTCCGGGATCTTAGCCTCGCCCCATCTCGGCCGGAGCCAATCACAGCGCAGCAGGCGAGGGGCCGCCCGTGCGTCACCGGTCATTGGTTGACAAGCTAACGGATCCGGCTCCCCAACCAACGGGGGTGTGACATAACTATAGCTCCGCCCCCGAAAGTGAGGAAAGTCACGCGGATGACCACAAATCTAGGAAAAGGTAAACCTTTAGAGGCGGCCCCTGAAATCCCACGGGCACGTTAAGCGGGGCGGCCTGGGTCTCGCCCCCCGCAAAAGTCATGGGGAGAATTGCTTCCGGGCCAAGGCCATAGCTTCTTCCTCTGCGCACCGGAAGCGCTGGCGCGAGAACCTCCCCTCACCGGGGGAGCTGGAAGACCTACGGAGCCGCCCCTCCCCCCTGTTCCCATCCCATCCCCCCCCCAGGAACACACGGGAGGGCCGGAGACGTAGAGAGAACTCATGCTTTAATAAGAGACGGGAACCACAAAGGGCGGCCTGGCGGCCTCAGCAAATGCCATAAAAATAGGGACTCCTCTGTACAAGGCGGACTCGGAATACAAAACGCGGGACGCCGCCCGGGAACGGAGGCGCGGTTACAAAAAAAGTCCGTCGGGCCAAAGGGCGGCGCTCCTTCCCGGCTTGGATGGACGGGGCCTCCGGAGCGGCCTTGCATAGGGCGGGAGCGACCCCGAGGGGGACCCTGCGCGGCTCCGGCGGCGCTCTTCCTTGGCCCCGAAGCGAGCGGGGAAGCCGGGCCTCCCCAACCACGGGCTCCAGCCCAGAAAGGAGGCGCCTCGCTCCCCCTCCCCAAACCCGGGGCGGGGGAAGGGGCCGTGGTCGATGCCCGGCTACATGCAAACTAAGGAAAGGTCGCCACACGGGACAGAATGAAACCCGCCCCCCTCCCCCCATTCACAGGACACAGGATTCAAACGGGGGGTGGGAGACGGAGGGGCCGACGACACGGGGAGAAGGAAAGAGGCCTCCGGTGCAACAGTCTTCCACTCTGGCCTCGAGCATCGGATCCCTGGCATGCCCAGAGTCATTGGGAGATTGGCACCGCACGGAGCCTGCCGCCGGTTCCTGTGCTGCCAGACGGAGACCTGCCTGGCACAGCCAGGAGAGAGAGCCTCTGGGTTGGCCCTTGAGGTGGAAGCAGCCGTCTCTCCTCCTCCTTCTAAGCCGGCTGCTGGTGGGAAGCTGCCTCCCAACCCTTCCTGGAAGCACTCACAAAATGGCTTGTATTTCTACACAAAAAATTGTGTGCGCTGCCTAATAGAATTGCTGCCCCTCCCCCACCCAGCACCACTGAGTGTGGCAACTAAGGCGGCAGCGAAGGGCCGGCTGTCACTAAGCAAGATCCACAGGCCTGGCCTCTGCTCAAATCCATCTTGCTGGGCTCCAGTCCCCCAACCTGCTCCCCCCCACTGTACTGCATCTTTCAAGCTGGGGGGACAGGAAAAAGGGCCCAGAAACTCCACCCAGGCAAACAAAAAAACGAGGAAATTGAGGTTCAGCACTTTGACGAAGGGAAGAACCTTCCTGGTGACAAAAACTTGTAGCCATTGGCAGAAGGTGTCCGAATGGGGTAGCTGGGCTCCAGAACGCTGCTGGAGTCAGCTGGAGGCCTGCGCCCATTGGCAGAGGAGTCCTTCTTCTGCAAAAGGGGAGCAGACAAGTCCGTCAGCTCCAGTTTGTCGGTGGCTTCCTCTTTGCTACGCCGGGGAGACAAGTTCAGCAGGCTCAGCACATCTCGCTTGGAGGCTTTCCCAGAAGAGCTGGGGCAGCTCCTCATGGGCCCGGGGGGTTGCTGGGGGACATTTTGCCAGAACATCTTCAGATTGTGAATGGCCTGCACCTTTCCATCGATGGCCGCCATCTTGAGCTTGTCGAGAGCAGGTGGGTTGGCTGGGCTGGAACGGGCTGAGCTGGCAGAGGAATAGGAGAGGGCTGGGGAGGGAGTGCTGTCCGCTGGGGATCGATGCCCTGAGCCGGGGGAGATGTTCTGCGGAGACCTGGATATATGGGCACTGTATGGAGAGCTGGGGTACTTCAGCCTGAAGACTGGCTGATCTGCCGCAGGCCCACAAGAGTCCAGGCTGGGGGAAACCTGCCTAGCACTTTCCTTGGTGGACATCTGGGAGGGAGAAGGGCTGTTGTCTCCAAAGCTGGATGTTTGCAGGGAGGGACTCTTTAGGAGAAGCTCAGGCCTCACCGGGGTGGGAGAAGGCTGACTTTTGGTGCTGGAGCACAGTGGCCTGCTAAAGGCACTGGTCTCTGAGGACCGGAAAGTGGCAACTCTGGAGGGTGAGGCGGTCCCTTCGTCCAAGCTGCTGCTTCGGCCAGGTTGGTGGGGACAGCGACTGCTGCCGGTACACTGGAGATGCTCCACGGCGAGGAGGTGACTCTGCGTTTCCTGCAGGATCTTCTGGGCCAGCTCCTGAGGATCCAATTTTGGGCCATTCCCTTCCTCTTGGGATTTGACGGTGCTATCCGTTTCAGTACTGGAATGGTCTGATTCACCTATATCTGAACCCGTTCGTTTCCCAACCTTCTGGAAAGGAGAGTTTGGGCTGGGAATGAGCGTCATTTTCCCCGGGGAGTTTGGGGAACTGATGCTATGCTTGAAGTTAACGGAGCCCCTGACTTCTCCAGTCTGGGAGAGGCTGTGCTCTGTGGAAAACATGCCTGGGGCCTCCTGATATACCGCCAGAGGCTCATTGCTCACAATGGAGAACCCCTCGTACTCCTCTTCGTCTTTGCTGGGGCCAGCTCTAGCTTGTGCCGAGAAATGACTCTGTGGTAAGGAGACCCTCTGGGGATAAATGGCCTTAGACCGCTCCGAGTCTTGGTGCCCCCTGGAGCCTCCTACCTCAGACGTGCCCTCGGGCTTGGAGACGAAGCTAATGGAAGAAGCAATGGAGCTCAGGCTGTAGACGGAGATGGCGTCTGAGGCCAGGCTGTCTGGGCCCATAGGAGAGAAGGGGGGATTCTGGCCAGGGAGCGGCCCAGGATTGGAGAGGGATTGGGCCGAGGCCAGTGATTCAAGCGAGGAGGAGCTGTCCAAGCTCAGGCGCTTGGGGAGTTCTGTGGAATCTGGAGAGGAATGGGAGAGCAAATTAATTCTAAAGCAGCACGACTGGGGAAGACGGGTGTAAGGTCCTCCCACTCACAAGAGGCCCAGGAAAGTCCCCACGACTGTCCTCTCTCAGAGGGTCCTTTGCTAGAACCCCTCACCTTTCTTAAGTTCTTCCCCCCCCCCTGTGATAAGGGGCGTCATTTGCTCTCCTGCGCCAAGTGTGGTTGCCCTGGGCAGTGTTGGGCTTCAGGGTTCGGGGGCTACAGCGGTTGCAGAGCTTCAGATACCAGCTGTGAAGCCCCACAGCAGGATGTGGCACTGCTTGTGGGAACCAGAAGCCCAGCAAAAGCCAAGGGACATGACCAGGCTGTGGCTCTGCCCTAGTGACTGCCCCCCCCCCCAGCCCAGGAGCTCTGAAAAGAAGCTGCTCTCCCCCAAGGCCCCGTGCCCCGCCCCCCCCCCCCCCCCCCCCCCCCCCCCCCCCCCCCCC